CACACACACACACACACACACACACACACACACACACACACACACACACACACAATGTTACGACCACAGTAAGATGTAAAAATCCTGCTGTTTTCATCATTTCAATTTGATCCTAGTACACAAATGAAAAAAAGAGCTTGTGACTGATTTGTTGAATGAATACATGAACATTTTTAACTACACTATAAAAAACAAAACGTTTTTCTGTGTTTAAGTAAAACTTTATACTGAGGCAAAGGACAATTCCAGTCCTGTTAGACTGAGGTAAAACTATACTATAATACTACAATACAATGACAAATATACGTGTAACATGTAGAAAATAAAAGCCGTTTGAAAAATAGTCTCACTTTCTCAAACAAAATAGCTACTTCCTGAATATTCCACGTGCACCTTACTTTCCAAATGCCTACGCAAGTGGGTTGTGACTGAAAGTAGGGACTCTCTTTTTTTTTTCTGTCGAAGCCCCCCCACCAACACATCCGTGTTTCCCCTCGCACCATCTGCCCAGAAAAAAGGGCACATGAGAATACACCTCCCTCTGTACCCGACCTCCAAACTCCAGATGCTGAAGAAGCTGCCGCTGTGGAGTCGGAGCTCGGCAGAGAAACACGCAACACCCCTGCGTTGTGCTGAACAATTCATCTGCATCAGTGACCTTTGCCCCCCCTCCCTCCCCTCACACTTGTGTCCTGGGCGTCTGCAGGAGCTCCTGACTTGACTCCGCAGAATATGGTGTGTTGCGACAGAGCGGCCTGGTCGCTTCCCACTATTTGTTCCAAATGTGTGGAGCCATCTGTCAGTAAAACAGGAAGGCCTAGGTTCCCCTTCTCCCTTGGGCTTGTTTCGCTATTTTCGGGAGCTTCACTTCTCCCTGTGTGGCTGCTTGGACCGGGCAGCGGCCCCACCAAGGGCTTCTTGAAGTGGCGGAGCTGGGGCTGAGGCTGTCGGGCCCATCTGCTGCAGGCTTGAGGGCCATCCATTATTAATGGGGCCATGAGCACTGGTGACTCCTCAGATATTCAGCCCTGGCCGGAGGTTTGCTTCTGGACTCGACTGCCTGGTCTTGCTAAAAAAATAATAAATAGGAACCTCTCTGTCCTTTGGCCTGCTTTCTGTCTCTTTTCTTTCTCTTCACCTTCCTGTTGCATTTGCTCATCTGACTCTTGCCCTCCTATTGCTGTCTACTTCTCTGCCGCTGAGTCTATCTTGTTGCCGTCTCCTGCTCTTCTTCTTCATCTTCTTCTTCTTCTTCTTCTTCTCCTCTCACTTTCTCTCCCTCCCTTTGTTTCTCATTGTGACTTGCATGCATCTGTGCTCAGGCCGCAGGCTCAGCGATGCATGCTCAGTAAATTAGAGAGAACACGAGTGCCGATCAGCTGGGCTCGGCGAACACCCGCATCCTCGGTGACCTGGGGCCAGTTAATTTTCTGCTTAATTTTGCGGCAGTCAGTTTGCATTTTTGGATGATTACGTGGCAGGAAATTAACAATAAATAACAAATGTGGTCTGAAAGCTCATTCCCGGCGAAGTCGTGCTACCGGTGGGCCCCATCAGCTGGAGCAGAGCCACTTTCCAGGCTCAGGCTCTCTGTCAGGCTCGTAATGAAAATGTCTGTGATTCTTTGTAATGTAATGTGGGGGACAGTGGTGCGTCTGTGGCTGTGACAAGAACGATCTCACTGAGGTGACGGAGTCATGCCGAGATGTACACCTTTTATTCCACTCTGGCTTTTTATAATGTTGTTTCCTCAGCCTGCACTTGATTAAACTTACACACAAATACATCTGTATTTCTCTCCCATTAGAGTACTTGCACCGCATGGAGACAGAAGAGGCCCAGGAAATGGCCCAGATGCCAGGTAAAAGAGTACCTACTGCATGATTGAGCCATTGAGTGCAGAAAGTAGATACAATAGGCCCACAAACAGGCTCTCACACCCACCTGGAGGTAATTTTGCTTCTAGTGAATGAAACACATTGAGGGGTTGCGCGGTGAGTGATGGGTGTTTGCTGGTGTGTGTCTCCCCAGGCAGGGACAGCCCCCCTCCCACCGAAGCGTCCGAGGAGGCAGAGGAGCCCATGGCCGTCCCCGAGGACCTGTCAGCCGGCTCCACCCACCAGCAGAACAACAGAGGGGACAAAGGTACGTGCACGGCAACATCTCTCCAAATTCACCCACAGCCCCTCAGAACATCACTGGTGCTCGTGTACATTTCTATGAGTGTGAGATTGCCATATTAAGTGGAGTGTGTCCCATGAAGCAGCAATAAAATGAATAAAAAACCCACAGCAGTGCCTTTCCCAGCTGTAATGTATTCATTCCCAAAGCGTCCAAATCAGAGTAAAACGCTTACATGAAAGAATCAGTTTAAAAAAAAACGGCATAAAAAGCATAAAGATGTTATTATAACTTAATCTCATCCAGTGGGAGAAATTTGCCATTCCAAATCCCTGGGAATATTAATTTAAAGCTGCAAAGAGACACATTTAGGTCATTGGCAGAAAAGGTAAAAAGAAAAAAAACCCTCTTTGATCCATGGTATGTCATTAATAAGCCGAATCTTAAGGAATAGCTAATGTGGCCTTGATTTGAGTTTGTGAACATCAAGCCAGGGAATATCATGGTGAAAATAAGGAGGAGGCATTCAAGAGGGAACCACAGCGCTGATGTATATTTATCTCATGTCTGCTAATGTGGGTGGTTTGTGGAGAAAATGTGAAAAGCTAGTCAGACTTACTTTGCACAGGACAAATAAGTATTATTTTGCTTAGTATTATTCTTTATTCAGGAAATTCTTAATTATGTTCATGTGTATTCGTATGTTCAAGGAATGTCCAGAATATTAGGGACAGTAACAATGTTAAAGATGCACTCAGAAGGGGGAATTTGCGTATTGACGCAGTTACAGATGTGAAATTTGCTAAAAGTTAATTATCCCAGGATCCTAAAAATGTGACTTGTGAATTTTATCTTCATCATGACAAATAGTTTCACATGATCGTAGACAAAATCTAGCATTACATCTGAAATTTCACCACCCTGTGAGTGTTTTTCTACTTTTCCAGATAACGGCAAAGATTAGAAGCACAGAGTCAAAAAAAAGTAGGAGAGGAAACTGAAATAGGATGTGTAAGAGTTTCCTAAGAAGAACATTGCCTTTAGGCAGTTTCAACACTCCTGGAGATAAAGAGTTCAGGAACAGGGCCAAGCTCGAGACTGAAAAGTGCATTGCTATACCACAAAGGTCACACACCTGCACACGCACACACTTAACTCACAAATGTGCTTCGTCTGACTTTAAAGCAGCTGAATTGTCAGGCAGAATTGTTTTTGTGGCATCTAAATGATCGTGATTGTGGCAATTTGTGTTACGCATTGTGTGTAGAGCCATGTTGTCTGTGCTCGTCTCATGTCAGTCGACTGATGGACGTGTAGTACAATCTGGATAAAACAAGATTTAAACATTTAACTTTCATTTGCGGCATGTAAAGACAGTGATGAGGACACAGCTGTCAGCGTGGACATCTGACTCTATACGTGACTTCTGTTCAATCCCGATTCAGTATCATCACTTTGCATGAGCGTGTGTGTGTCTGTACACGTGTCTATATAGGGACAGAGAAAAAGAGCCCAAAGACCGAAAGAAGGGAAGTGCAAGTATCTGGTTCATCTATGCATCGCTGCCTCTGTGATAAAAGCCTGAATGTGTTATAATTATCACTCAGGATCATGTGCTACTCAGTTCTCTGTAATGAAAAAGGCAAAAAAGCAGGGGGTCTGTAAGTGGGACACCGGACCTCAAGGTATCGCATGCTCAAAACCTCAAAAGCCATGTTCTTTCCTGTTGCAAATAAGTATTTGCTGTGGTTGGGCATTTTCATTATTGCTATACATTCACAATATTTCAAGTATAAGGTTTATACGTCAATGTTAAAGCTATTTCGTTGTCAAATTTTCACAGGCTCACTATATTTATATTATTATATTATTTATGTTTATTTTTTTCTAAAGCAGCTATAACTGAAATAAACAAGATAATCTTCACAACATCCAGTGAAATGATTTCACTTTAAGTGAATGAGACTGAGCTGTCTAGTTCCCGAAAACATGGAGACGAGTGTTTAAAAAAAGAAAAGTGTGCGGGGAAAAGCAATCTGTTTTTGGTGTTCCTGCAAGTCAAGTGTGTTGCTGGCGTGGTTTAACACATGCGGTTCCACTACCTTGCACACAGGGTTATTTTCAGGCAGTGAGAGCAGCATAAGTCAGTAACAGGAACCTCCAGCAGGCTCCCTGTGTCTCCATGCTGCAGAACTAACGCACTTGTTATCGTACTTTGTATTTATCATTGATCTCTGTCAGAATAGTTTGACCATTTCTTTTTTATGCCAAAAAGGCTTTACCACTATTTTAGCATTTTAAATACATATTCATTTGTAATTTCTGTATGTATTTGTCCTTGTAGTTTCATTTTCAGTTACCTGTAATCTGAGAATCAGATTGACACCAGGTTATAACATTGTTTTTGCGACCTGCTTTGTTTGTCTACAGTGTGCTCTGACAGTTGCTTCCCAAAAAGACCTAATCAGGATGTGTGACTGTGACAAACATGATATAAAGTAAAAAGCCTTCTTCCTTCTCCCAATTTAGTCACAACTTCCCCATATCCATGAGAAGCAGGAACATGGTTCCCTTCTGTCTACTTTAGCAGTCTGATAACCTGAGAGCTTCGCTGCTGGGTTAGAATTTTAAGGAACTGACAGTTGCAGATAAAAAAAAAATATTTTGGTGCATTGATCCAGCTATGAATTTTCCTTAAATCTGTGAGAATATACAAAATGCCCAATGCAGATTATGCATTGATTTAGGGTTTATTAGTTGTTAAATTGAATTTTCAAGCAAGGCAATAGTCTGAATAAGCCTTTTTATTGATTTACATAACAACTCCCAAGGATTGTACAACTCCCCATAGATTAGAAAAGTAGTCAAGTTATCCAGATAATTGTGGCAATCAGTGATGTTGTGGCTAAAACCTTTATTTAAATAAGGAGGGTTGAGGGGGTGAAGCAACTGAGTTTTACTTTCAATCTTTGTGATATACAAATGGAAAAAACATGATCACATGCCTTAAAAAAAATTCCTTTAAATGTTTTGTACTCTTACGTCACCATTAAAGTGCTTAAACCTGAATGAAGAACCTTGTTGGTTGAATTGAGAACGGATACACATGTTTTTCAACATGGCGCAATGTAAAACCTCCAAAAAACCCTCCAAAGACACACGTCAACTGCAGATTATCTTATCTTATCTGAAATGGAAAATGGTATTTATAGCATAAGAGTCTTGTGTTAACATAGATTTCTGCTTAAATCCTCACTGCAATGTAATTGAATGCATATGTAGTATGTGCCGTGAATAAATCATTCTGTAAGTAACTCTCTGTCATTTTAACTAAGCATTTAGTTTTCAAGCAGTGAAGTCTTTCCTTCTCTCTGCGTGCACAATGTGTGTTTGTCTTATGTCATCTCAGCAAAAAGATGAGACAGGTTGTCCTAAAAGTGTCAACAGTTGAGCAGATGAGAAGACTGTTTATCCGGCAATAGAAAAAAAGAAAAATCTTGCTTGTTGATATTTGATTAGATTACGTGACTCTTGTGATCTTTTGTTGTTAGCTCTCACATTTTGCACCACCTCCTGCTCTCGATGGGAAACATTCTTTGCAGTAGGATAGTTATGTTTCCTCGTGGCTCTCTGTGAAAATTGGTAAAAGAAAAAAAACTGTTTCAGTTACAGGCTGTTTTACAATTCCCTTCCCGTGCTTCCCTTTCTGTCACTTCTCCATAATTCTTGGTATTTCAGTTAGACAGGCCCTCTTTCTGAAGCTTCCCCTTTTCCATAGATTCCTATATTTCATGATTTCCACTTCTTCCTCTTCAGTTGTACAAACAGAGCTAGTGGCATGGGGAAATCAGTCTACCACCATGACATGCAACCACATTCTGGGACTTGCGAGATCTTTCAGTTTTGTGAAATGAAAGGTTTTTCTGGTAGGAAAGTAGGGAGTTGTTAGTTTAACACAGAGGACACTTCTCTTTTCTGATCACTTTGGGAAAAACAGAATAGAAATACATTTTATCTAGTTTCACAGATGATGCAATTCTTATTTTTGTTTCTGTACCCTTAAAAGTTCCAAATGAACAAGGTGGTGAAGGGCATACACACGTCTCTCTCTGTTTGTGTGTGTGTTCATCGCACACTGTGGCCCCAATGCACACCACTGTCGTCCCTAGTTTCGCACTGCTTCCTGTGTCTCTGTTTCCTGTTTATCTTGCTGTCATTCGTTTCACCAAAAGTGTGATAGTGTGAGATGATCTGTGTGTTTCTTCATCTCATCGCTGACATCCTCAAACAGTGATCATGCTCTCTACTGGTGTATCCTGATGAAAAATGTGCTGCTTAGTTAAAAAGAAGCAGGAGAGTGTGACAAATCAACAAAATGAGTCACTCAGGAAGTGATTCACGGAAAATAAATCTTGCATAAGTATATGAAAAAAATAGATTAAAAAGTAATTCATAATAGAAATGAGATTAAAACCAAAACCAAAATAAAATGCCAAACAAAGAGAAAAAGAAAATAAATCACATGGTCTGGTTAAAAAAAAAAAAGAAATAGTAAGATTAAGAACAATGATAAATGACACTAATAGTAGCCATAAAAGTAAACAAGAAGAAAAAGAGAAGCCATACTGAACCGTAAGCGAAAGAGGGACATTTACAGTGTAAAGTAGAAGCACATGCATTTTTAGAAATGATCACTAGGGCAGTTTATTCTCATGCCACAGTATCAACATCACACTGACAAATTGCCCATCTTCAGTAAGTAACATCATGAGAGAAGCATGCTCGTATTCTAAACCGTGGCCCCCCCTTGCCCTCTTTTCCAGTCTGTAACATTAAAGTTGAGGCTCGCAGTGATGAGGAGAATGGGCTGGCCTGTGACATGAATGGCGTGGAGGAGGAGGAGTGTGCGGAAGACTTGCGCGTGATCGATGCCTCTGGGGCCAAGGTGAACGGCTCACAGCCGCGCCCCGAAGCCAAGGCCTTCTCCTCGGCCGGCGGTATCCGGCTGCCCAACGGGAAGCTCAAGTGCGATATCTGCGGGATAGTTTGCATTGGCCCCAATGTGTTGATGGTGCACAAGCGAAGCCACACTGGTAAGCCAACCTGCACTACTTCTTGCCCTTCCTTTGCACCCATGTTCACTGTCAGTATGAGAGGATGGATGAGGGCTAGAAAGGTGTATGGCTACTACATAGTTCTAGAATCTAAATGGCAAAAATGAAGATCTCAGAGTAGTTGTTTCCTACAAGCAATATAACAGCACATATAGTCTGCTGTAGATTTGTGTTCTCTTTGCTTACACATTAATAATTAGAAATAATGTACTTATGATTTCAGACACCCTTAAACGTAGTTGTGCTGGCATGCCTGCATTTGGCTGTATGCATGTACACCCTCCTATCGTGCGTGAAATAGACTTTGAGCGTGCCATTAGTTTTCATTATTGTTCATCTAAATGACTAAATTACCACATGACAAGCAACTGGTCAAATTATCGTGCGATAAAGTATCAGAGACCAACTTGGTCCGAAAAAAATGAGGAAAAGGATATCTGCTGCAGTTATATGGAATCTCTACGAAGTGACAATTATCTGGCTATTAAAAGTATTTTCAAATTTCAAAATTGATATTCTATTGTAATGGAACCAAACCAGTGGTGGGGAACATTTTTGAAAAAGGCACTTAACTGTCAAGCTTTAGAAACTAATGAAACTCAAAATGGAAGAAAGGAACACCAGACTAATGTAAATGCAAAAGAAACTACAATAAAGGATATAATGAAGTGCCTCCTATTTAAATAGAAAATATTCTGTGGTGAGTCTTAGCTCCTGAAATGCATTTTTAATGAATTTCCTCTTTTATATATTTTTGCTGCTTCACTGGTGACTCTTATTTTATGGGGGGCCTTTGAAAAAAAAAGCCATATTAAAACGTTCTCACAGAATGCCACAACACTCGGAGAGGCTGGATATTGGTTTATTCCAGAGGCGCTGATCAGGAAGACTGGCTCTCAACACAAAGTGTTTCCTTTGCTTTATTCAAATGAGGCTGAATTTGCATTGTGATGTGCCGCTCTTATTTTAGAGACGAAGAAGAGTAAAAAATGAGATTTTCAGATCAAATTGACCTAGGCAATGGTGCATTACGGAACTGGCAGGCTGAGTCTGAAAGGCTCTTGTTCGATCAGAGCGCCAGAAGTCGGCGGGGCAGGGGGAGCATGGAGAGATGGAGTGTCACTCTGCTGTGAAACCCTCCCGCAGGCTGCTGGATCACTCTCTGCCCTGGAGACCCTCCATCATCCAGCTTGTTCTGGCGCTCGGGATGCTTGTAGTGCAGTGACCCCGCATTCCCACAGCAGCAGCCTGCTTTTTCTCCGCATAGAAAAGACTCAGACTTAGTGTTGTTATTGTTGTCAGATGAGGAATCAGACATGGTGAGATTAGGGAGAGCAGTGCAATTAGGGAAAAGTCATGAATTCCCTGATACATGAAAAACACAAATGGGTGCTTTTGAAAACATACAAGTGTGTCATCGGCCTCTTTACAGGACAGTGTGTCTGTTGTGTTCTTCCCCCCAGGAGAACGCCCTTTCCAGTGCAGCCAGTGCGGTGCCTCTTTCACCCAGAAGGGTAACCTGCTGCGCCACATCAAGCTCCATTCAGGGGAGAAGCCCTTCAAGTGTCACCTGTGCAGCTACGCCTGTCGCAGGAGGGATGCTCTCACCGGACATTTACGCACCCACTCAGGTGAGTGGAAAACCAGGCAGCGAGTACTCAAACTTCTGCACACGGAAGTTTTTACAGAAGGCATGACATGTTCTGCAGTGCACACCGCAACAGCTCAGGGCCGTAGTACATGAGGAAGTTGAAAGGGTAGATATGGTGTCACATTTTTTGCAAATGCTTTGCAGAAGTATGTGTTAATGAAATGTTTTGGTTGTAAACAATATACACTTGCAAAGCCTGCACTGAGGAGTGAAAGGTTAAACTGGACACAATTGTATGATTTTATTATGCAGGTTTTAATTCATTGAAATACAACAATGCTCACAAAAATTAAAGGCTGCATAGAAGGTGAAGATACAATTAAAAGCTTACAATCTGTGGCAAGCTCTTAGGCTATTCTTGATATATGGTATTACATATGATTAATAATAGAATTCATATCATTTTGATTAGGGCGAGCAATAACAAAACTATAGAACTAGTTTTGTTATTGCCAACATATCCCATAAAAAGACCTAGAACCAGTAGTCTTGATTGAGACTTCCCTAACCCTTGACTCCATTGGTTCCTGTGTGAATATTTAAAATCAGGTCACATACAGACAGGTTCATTTAAAAAAACTACAAAAGTCCCAAACCAGTTGGATACTGTCGTTTTTAACAAATGTTATTCAAATGTGAATACATTGTGCATTTTCCTGGAACTTCAAAGGAAATAACACATAATGCAAGGTGACTGTATTTTTTTGGACTTTTAGAGAGCTCCATTCTGTAGTAGTTACTCAACCACGGGGCTGTAGACATAGTTTTAGTAATACTGAAGTCATGAGTCATTTTTGTCCTTCATATTTATTTTAAAGATCTGATGATTTAACCTTTCATTAATATTATCTGTAAGATTTGTTTCACAACCTGTGGAGAGTGGAGATTTAGTTCCACCACTAGGAGCCAACATGCACACTACTTGATCTATTTTGGTGCAGGAGATCAGATTGCCCCCCCCAAAAAAATTATGATAAGTAATCATTTTAAAAGAAAAAGGTAAATTCCTGCACAGGGAAATAGTAAATCCCTTAATAATGTAAAAATAGTTCAATTTAAATTGACTCTTTACTGGAATCTGTTATTAAAATACCCTCTCTATGTAAGCTTTTATTTGTAGAGTGTAAAATCCCCTCAAATTGCTTCCCGAATTCCCCCAATGCACTGGACTTTCCAGGAATCATCAGTGCGAGTGCTGCTGTCAGGTCTTCTCTTTGAGCCTCCTGTAGGTGGTGCTCTTTTCTTCATCTAACAACTGTCAGTGTGACAAGCCCAGTTTCTCCTCTTCTGTTTGTTCTAATCAAAGTGGATGTATAAAATCCAGCTCATCACCATGACAGAGCACAGAGGAGAGCAGATAAAGTTACCTGCAGGTTAAATCATGATTGTGTAACTGAAAAAAATGCCACCAAAAAGTATAATTCTGGTGGCAGTAATTGCTCTGTTCACTGATGAACTGTTTCATTTTGTTGCAGTTGGAAAACCCCACAAGTGTGCATACTGTGGGCGGAGCTACAAGCAGCGCAGCTCCCTAGAGGAGCACAAGGAGCGCTGTCACAACTACCTCCAGTACATGGGGCTGCAGAACAGCATCTACACAGGTTGGTGCCTCGGGAGACGCTCGCTTCTCACCCAGATCTGATGACCTACTTTACCCTGAGCACAGCGCTCTCTTTTGCATGTGTACCATGCTTACACTGCTCCAATAGGTGTGCTTGTCATGTCATGCCCATTTCAATATTGTAACAGTTTAGGTGCATGTGGGTGGAAGTGAGGAGCGTGGAAAATGGCAAAATCTCACAGACACAATGCTCATCTTTTATCGCTAACGTCCACTTCAACCTGACCAAGCCTGGTTGTAGGGTGACTACAACTATCAAACAAGAACCAAACACAGTCCGCTCGTCAGCTAAACAGTCATGAGTTGGGCCGAGAGGAAGAGCCCAGTATTACCCCGAAGTGGATCATGCCTCCCAACTAACTAAGAATACAATGTGAAGTCTGATGATGTTGCATCTCTTGTATCCAGGCAACACAGGCTGTCATAAACGTACTTTTTGCAATTTTGACTGTTACAATATACAGTGGGCTCATCCATCCAAAATATGTGCTGAGCTAATTACGTCACGTTCATCACGCTGCCATTTGCCACTTCATCCTCTGCAGTCATGAATTAAATAACCTCCCTATAGAAAACGTGAGATTCTTAATGTGCGGGGTTGTGTCTCTTGGTATGTGAGCATGAACAGATGCTATATCTACAGACCATGCGTCAGATTAGTGTGTTCTGTGAGACAAGCATCACCGGGCATGTGTTATCAGGCACCAGTTCATCGCTTTAAACCGGACTACCTCAGATTACTTTGACTCTGAAATCTACCTCTCTGTCTTGCTTTCCAGTAGTAAAGGAAGAAAGCAACCAGAATGAGCAGAGGGAAGACTTAAGCCAGACGGGATCTGACAGAGCCCTGGTGCTAGACAGACTAGCTAATAATGTAGCTAAGCGTAAGAGCACTATGCCACAGAAGTTTGTGGGTAAGGGCTGAAATCTGCTTCCTTTGTCTGAAACAAATACAATGTTACTTCTGAAAGCTGCGTAGATGAAGCTGCTGTGTGTTTTGTGTTTAGAGGCCACCTTGGCTCAGCATGCAGTATTAGAGAATAAAGTCTATTTCTGCAGTTCAGCCTGATTAGGAATGTGCCTGTGATTTGTTTGATTGCCTTTAGATAATGAATTGTTTCAATATTTCCTGAGTGTTTAATCGTGGATGCAATTGTTTTAGAAATACTAATAGGAGACATTGAGACCATAAGAAAGAGTAATAGTGAGTTATTTTCAGACTCAGCTAGAGAGGAGCAGACACAGTGTGTAGACAGTGGAGTCACAGAGTGTAGGTCAGAGTGAGAGCGTGTCAGTAGTTTAACCTTCTCATTGCTCCTCTGTCTCTCTCTGGCTCTTCAGGTGAGAAACGTCTGTCCGACCTCTCATACGATGGAGGAGCAGGAGAGCTCATTCAGCCCCATGTCATCGACCAGGCCATCAACAGTGCCATCAGCTACCTGGGGGCCGAGTCGCTGCGGCCTCTGGTCCAGACCTCCCCAGCCTCCTCTTCCGACGTGGGCCTCGGCTCCATGTACCCCCTTCACAAGCCGGGGGCCGAGTCCCACGCGGGCCACAACCTGTCTGCCAAAGACAGTGCAGCCGAGAACCTGCTGCTGCTCTCCAACTCCAAGTCTGCCTCCAGCGAGAAAGACGCCTCGCCCAGTCACAGCGGCCAGGACTCCACCGACAGCGACAGCAACAACGAGGATCGTCCTGGCAGGGCGGCTTCCGGCCTCATCTACCTGACCAATCACATCACCTCGGGGGTGAGGAACGGCGTGCTCCCTCTGGTGAAGGAGGAGCAGCAGAGGCAGTACGAGGCCATCCGCGCCAGCATGGAGATGGCCTCCGAGGGCTTCAAGGTGGTAACGGCGGATGGGGAGCAGGTGAGGGCGTACAGGTGCGAACACTGCCGCGTTCTCTTTCTGGATCACGTCATGTACACCATTCACATGGGCTGCCACGGTTTCAGAGACCCCTTCGAGTGCAACCTCTGCGGTCACCGGAGCCAAGACCGGTACGAGTTCTCCTCTCACATAACGCGAGGAGAGCATCGCTATTGAGCCCCGACGCACACACACACAAACACACACACACACACACACACACACACACACACACACACACACACACACACACACAAACAAGTGTACATATGAAAAAATGCCACACATACTCTTAGACATGCATCTGAAAAAAATGCATAGAAAAACTAAATGTAAAATACACTGTTAATGTCTGAAAGTTGTTTTTTTACACAAAGTTTGCATGTATGTTAAACACAGATAAATGTAAACAATTATTAAAGATATTGCTTTATTTTCATTTCAAAAACCATGCTCAAAAGAAAGACTCTTCAGTTGTCTTTTTTAACAACAGAAAATGAAGACGACACAGCTGAGGTACTGTGCCGCTTCATACACACATTTTTAATCATGTATTTACAGTTGCCACTTATATAAAATGTACAAATGTGACTTTTCTTTTGGAAAACCAGGCAGCAACTTTTGTTTTCCTAGTTTTGAAGTAGTAAAGAACTCCATACATTTATTTACGCACTCATTTAGTGATGTGTCTCAAATGTCAGTTAAAGATTCTTCAGCTGTTTTCATTAGAGGAACTTCAATCAGTGTGGATAACTTCACATTTCCCTCTTAACTTTCAACCTGTTCTCATATTTGTAGCAGCTTATACATTATTTATATAACATTTAGACACATCCTGTCTGTTTTTGTATTTATTATAATGATTGTTGTTTGTCTGTGGAGTAGTTTTTTTTAAAAGTTGCATCTTCTTCTGTTCAACTGTACTAAATGTATTTGAAGTGAAAACATGACCGCTGCTGGACGCTATACTTTTGGTTCTATCATGAGGAAATGTTATCGTGGCCCTTTTTTGTTTTATACCTGATAGCTAAGAATTGTTTCACTCACATAATGAAAGTGAACCATTTGAAGGGATCTTTATGCTTGCAAAATATCAATAAAGGATATTTTATATATGCACAATGACTGTTGTGTTTTGTTTCTGCAGTGAATGAATTTGGAAAGCTGATTTATGCCTCAGAACATTTGTAGCAAGTAAATGAAAATTAACTGTGCTACTTTAATTAATGGGGACTAATCGCAGAAGAACTGTACATGTGGGTCATTATGACTTTATTGTACATATATGCAGATATTTCATGGCAAATGTGTTTTTCATAGGATAGCTTTCTTAACTAGACTAAATGGAACGTTTATTTGACTTTTACGGTTTTATTTTCCTCTTCTTCAGACATATGGAGATTTTATTTCACCCTCTCGAACCTTCTAAAATAATTAAGCTTGGATGTCATTCAACGTGCGGCTCAGTCCTGCCTGTCAAGGGAGAGCCAAGACAGAGGGAATGACTGGCATCTGTGTACAGAACGAAACAACACTGACCATACTGAAAGAAAATCTACAGTTAGAGGGGAATGAATAAATAAACACCTCCCCACATAGCGTATCATTACTTTGGGTGTGGCTGGAGTTATCAGAGATACATTTTTTTATTTCTAATTAGAAATATACTGTTTTCATATGATTTCACAAGGTTGGAAATCAGACAGGATACAGTTGGTACTCTCCACAGAAACTCTCATGTTAAATTGTGACATCTAGTGAGACACATAAAAATGTGAGTTTGAGAGTGAAGACCCCCCTCATGCACACACACACACACACACACACACACACACACACACNCACACACACACACACACACACACCAGCATGCTGACACGTGTCCAGGACCTGGAGAGAACGGCTGGTCCTCTGAGGAGCAGCAGCAGCAGAGAGCTGGGACAGAGAGGATCAGCCACTGGAGCAGAAGGCCAGGCCCGTCTGGAGACGTCCGGTCAGGGCCGATGTAGGAGCTCGCCATCATTGTGTGGCGACGGCCTCATCCAGATGGCTGCTGTGTGATTTAGCAGAAACGGGAAGCAGCTGTGGCCAGCGCTGCGTCCCCACACGCTTGACTGGGGCCTGACATGCGGAGGGAGGGCATTTGCATGAGAGGGATAATGTGGCCAACCAACTCTGGCTCTGCCAGGATCCAAGATCTCACTTCTGCTTCTCAGCCATTTACATGAGAACCAGACTTGACCAAGCTTTCCTGATAAAGGTGGTAAATTAAATGATACATTTGATTGCTTTGATTGACAGTGTGTAGTTAGATTACTGCCTATCCTGATGTTTCAGATGTATGTGGATTATTAGCAGCAATATCCCCTTTAAATTCTCATTGGGTGTAAATTTAAAATTAAAATAAAGGCCTAAAGATTTAAATGGATAATGGTCTGTATTTATATTATATTGTGCTTTTCTTGAAAACCCCTAAAGCTCTTTACAGATCAGTTTAGCCATGAATCTACTCACACACATTCATACAGTGAGTCTATGTGCAGCACTTTCTTTATTACTCATACACTGTCAGCACAGCCGTCATGGGCGATTTGGGGAGAGTATTTTGCCTAAGGACACTTCAGCACTTGGAATAGAGGAAACAGGGACTGAACCACTGACCTTTTGGTTAGTGGACGACCCGCTCCATCGTCCAAGTATTTTTTTTTTGTGGAGAAGAAATAAAATAAAAAATTGTGGAGCAGAAGTTTTTATCCTTTTGTATTACTCATCAATGAGCTCATAAAAACCTTGTGACCCTCACATATACAGTCAACTGTAGAGTGGATTATATAGAATTAGCCCCACCTTGACCAGCCAAGTCCAAATCCTACTCACCTTTGGTGCATCCAAACCCTAATCTAATCTGTGATAATCTAATATTAAATAGTATGATGCTCACAGGGACTATTTTCAGCGAAATAAATGTTTGATTCCCTACTTTCAAGCTAGGGTTATTAAGATTTCAGTTACAGTTTGTTTGGCGCAGTTTAAAGCAAGCTGATGAATCAATTCACATGAAAATCAAAAAAACTCATGTAGTTGTATTAATCAGTCAGAAATAATCTTTCATGCTGCATTGTTCCCTCATGCATACAAAGGCAATGTGAATTATTCTTGAGTGTTTTTACATTCATTTCAATTCAATTCTATCCATATAGCACCAACATACTCAAGGCACCAAGGTCACCACCTTATAATATCATAGATATTTTTTATAGTTATGATTTACAAATATGACAAATTTATAGATATTTATTCTGAGTACTTAATCCACCGCTGTTTATAACTGATCAACTAAAAATATCCAAAGCAACGTGAATCACTTCTAATAAATCATCTCCAGGTAAATGATCTACTCAAGTCTCATATTTATTTTCAGTGTTTCAGACGTGAATAACAAGAACACAGGCAGCAAACATCTATTTGTCTGTTTTCTATGAATGCACTGTGTAAAGAGTGTTTGCCACCACACAACCCCAGATGTATCCGCTGCTGCACAGCCACAGTCAAATTGAGCTACAAGCTTCCACCATATGGCTCAGTTTTCAGCCCGTACTCTGTGGACTCTATGGATCCCACCAGCACCAGAGGAATTCTGTGCATATGTCCCAGTCCAGCTGTGAGGAGTCCCCACATTCAGAGACACCCACAGGGGGTAGGGAGGAGGGGAGGTCAGGGGGGGCTCCTTTCACTGCTGGCTAATTCAACAAAGTTTCAACACAGAGGCCAACCACACGCATCTGAATTATTTATTAGGGACTTGACAAAAAGATGAAAAATAAATGAAAGTCTTTTTTCATGTTCATCCAGATTTTCAAACATTGTTTTCATGAAATTTACATGAGAATTTTATTTCATGTGTGCGCAATCTATAATGGTCCACTCTATAATGAGTAAATATCAAACCAGTGAGGAAAAAAAAACCCATCAACATTGTTAAAAAGATCAAGAACCAAGAACTATCACTTGACCACAGGATAAAGTTTCTTCTGAGATAGATCCTGGACAGATCTGTCTGACATGTCTGCTTCTGCACCGTAAACCCTGTCGATCAGAAGAGGTACTGAAATAATCCACGTCAAACTATTTCTCTAATACATGGGAAGTGTTGCAGTAACAGATTTTCCTGTTGAGTCCACCACTGTTTTATCTCTGACAGGAAAGGAGGCAGGGCTTTACAGGTTTCTGTGAACATGACACCCAGGATACTCTCTGTGTGTTGCCCAACTTCCATGGACATGATTGGCACACCCAGCCTCAGGGGAGATTTCAGCACAATGAGACCTGAGGAAAAACACGCAAATAAAACAGTGGCCACACTGCCCTCTGTGGAATCAGAGGGGAGAAGGATCAAGTGTGAACTTCTGGGGGGATGATGCCAATACTGATATTAGAGAGTGAACGTTTTTGATACCAATATATGTGGTTGTTGTTCAAAGTTTTATGACAAAGAAATGTGATTGAGACTGTACTTTTAATAGTTTAAATACACATTTCATTATAAATAAATACAATATAAACATGAATACACATCTTTTCTGCATAGTTTATTGTGTAAAATAAGTTCATATCAGCAGGTATCAGCAAACATAAACACTCACACCAATGTGACTGTGAAAGGCTCATATCGACCAATATTATCGGCCAACCCATATATGTCAGGCTCTACTTACTACTGCTTTGTTTCAACTCTGAGACAGTAACAAACTTTACTTTGCAACATTTTATTATATTTCATTCAGGAATAAAAATACAATTTTGTAAATGTAATTAATTGAAACTGACCCAAAATAAGTGAAGTCTTAACATAAGCGATTAATGTGAACATGTCTCTGCTGAATGTTCAACCTCGAAATTATTAAAAAAAGGATGCAAACAACTGTATGAACAGAGAGCCCTGTCTCTTTTAGAACAGTTTACAAACATTACATGGGGCCCAATGCTTACATAGATCAGAGCAAAGAATGGGAATAAGAACAAGTTTCAGACATTTTCATGAATTATGCTTCATCACTCTAAAGCAAATTGTGGTTATATCTTTCTTTCCTGTTACAGCAGGCTGAATGTGAGTAGTAAATGTTCATGGATAGCAAAAGAAATCAGACTGGATGTAAAGAGATTAAATGGTCAGTTGAGCTTAGAGGAAGTGAAAAAAAACTGCTCAATTTCATGCCACTGGATTTAAATATCTGGATTTTGTTGGATTTTGTTGTCCAACTTTCTCTCATCCCCATTCAAAACAACATTCAGAACTTTAACAGAGGTAGAGGACAATGAGAATGAGGGGTCAAAGTTTTAACGACCACATCCAAAAGTCTTGTTCCAGTCTTCATACAGCTCCAAATCTTTTGATGAGACACTGGGTCGAACCGTCTTCAGGGCCTCCTGGAAATCACAGTAGAGGATTGGTCGCACTTGGTCAGCGGTGATGGTGGCGATGTCGCTGAGCTGGATGCTTCGGATGGGCCCCAGCGCTGCCTCTCGACACAGCTGAGTCATATCAGCGCCGGAGAAGCCCTCAGTAGCTGACACCACGCTGCCCAGCTCAGGCTCGATCAGTTGGTTCTTTTCCCGAGCCATGAGGTTTGTCACGATCTGCCATCGGGCGGCTGCTTCAGGCAGGGGGATGTATAACCTCTTTGCCAGGCGCCGCCGGGCAGCTTCGTCTATCTCCTGAGGCCGATTGGTGGCACCAACCACTAGGATGCGATCCTCCGCTGCTGTGGCTGCTCCGTCCAGCTGAACCAAGAACTCTGTCTTTATCCTGCGTGATGAGTCGTGCTCCCCGTCTGTCCGCTGGGACAGCAGGGAGTCAATTTCATCAATGAAAATGACAGCGGGCTGGTGGCAGCGGGCGATGGCAAACAAGGCCCGAACCATTTTTTCTCCTTCACCAACCCACTTTGATGTGAGCGATGAGGCACTGATGCTGAAGAAGGTGGCGCCTGATTGACATGCGATACATTTTCCTATCAGAGTTTTTCCTGTTCCTGGGGGTCCAAACAACAGGATGCCTTTGGGCGGACCCCTGAGGCCAGTAAAGATGTCAGGCCGCAGCATGGGCCAAACCACTATCTCCTTTATGGTGGTCTTGGCAAACTCCAGACCTGCGATGTCATCCCAGGCCACAGGAGGCCCGTGGTCCATGATCTCACTCATGATCAGCTCGACTATCTTTGGCTCAAAGTTTTTCAGACGCTCATCCAGGATCTGAGGCTCAGTATTGGAATTACGGCTCGCCCCTCCTTCCTCCTCCTCCTGTCGAGGAATAGGTGACACAAATTTTGAAAATGTACCTCGAGGCCTGTTAGCACCCAGAGATTTTTTCACAGCTGCAGCCATCCCAGGGGCCTGGCCTCTCTGTGGCTGATGGGAATTTTTCTTCTGTTGATCAACGATGAACTGCTCGCGAGCCGTTTTAAAGTTGCCTCCAGGTCGCAGGTCAGTGGTTGCTTGACCTCCGTGTGAGCCCCTACCAACATCCCCTCCATCTGGGTTGTAAAAATTCTTCCGCTTAGATGGATTTGAGGTAGAGAAGAAGGAGGACTGGTAGTTTTGTGTGCCACCTGCAGGGCCAGGGTTTCCCTGTGGAAGGACTGAAGAGGAAGAACTAAACACAGACTGTGGTCGAGCTGAAGGTCGAGAGAATGAGTTTGGATTGGCTGAGATTCCCTCAGATCCTCTTGGCTTCTCTGCATAAGTATTAGCAGGAGTACTGCCACTGTTAAACTCTGTTTTAGCCTGTGTTGGTCCTATAGGTTTCAATAATGCATCGTCTGACCTGACTACAGAAAAGGGAGCTGACAGGGAGCTGCCTCTGCTCTCTGGTCCCACAGATATGTTAACATCTGCTGGTTCCACAAGGGAGCCTCCTCCTCCTCCTCCTCCCCCTGTCTGTGCCTGTATCATCTTCTGCACGCAGGGCAGCTCCAGCACACTCTCCATGGTCAGAGACGACTCCCATTTATCGCTGTGATTCCTCTGACTGCGGGCCAGATGCAGAGCGCTCTCTGCGTAGTTGTTGAGCCCCGTGCGGGGGTCATCAGAGTCCAGCACCGCAGCATAGCGCTCCGAGTAGGTCCTAAGCAGGCTGGCCATGCCGGCCTGTGAGAGCTGGGAGCTTGCCCATGCATACTGAATGGAGAGGATGTGGGCCCGGTACGCATCTGCCGTCTGTTCAGGTGTACAGTTGCCAGATGAAATGTCAAAGGACCTCCTCTGCCATTCGTCCAGGTGTGCACCACTCATGCCTGGCCTGCTCCAACCTGGTGAAGGAGAGGGGACAAGAGTTATTAAAAATGCATGACCTCAGTAAAAGCCCAGGCACACAATCACCCTTGACCCACACAAAGTTCTTTCTTAAAATATTACAGTCTTAGAAGACATTGTATATTTATTAATCTTAAACTACCTAATTCCACAAACATCTGTCCATCTGTATTTGGAGCACATATCTCACCAACAGTTCATCTTCTCAGCTTCACACTTCGCATGTCTATTGCTAATGGCCAGACCAAGTGCAGTGTTACGTTTTGTGTAATTTAGACATGACGTCAATTCAATATTAAGAAAAATGTAATAAACATGTTGAACATGTCTTCTTCTACATCCTTGGATAAACTACAGCAATAGACAATAAGTCAAACCGCAGGTCAAACTCAACGCCAGGTCATTCTAATAATTAGATTTTCTTTATTTTACCATATTAGACCGACTTTCACTGGTGCTGATCTGATTTGTCAGTGGCCAGATCGTTTTGCTGCTGCACTGCTTTATTGACAGGGCTTTTATTTAAAAAGTTGTTAACTTGGTACTGAAGATTAATTGTTCAAACTCATTTAAGTGCCACACAAGAGAAGGGTGACAAAGCAAATTCAGTTTCATTTCATGAAAAATATTGGCTGTGAAATCTTCTCTGCAGATAAACCAGGTGGGATGAAGTTTTCTAACTTCACTCTGCACACAATGTCCAGCACACAGACTATAACAAGTGACAGTGTATTGTAGAACTGTTTGAGGAGGACTCATTGAAGACAAGAAGTCATTCTGAAGTAGCTCTGGAGCAAGAGAACAGCCCATTGAAAACATGCAGGTTTAGATCTGCACAGCACTTGGTGTGAATGAATGAATGAATGAATGAATGAATGAGAAGATGTGATGAAGTGTCCTTCAGCAACATGTTATAATTAATTACTGTGGGATAAACTACCACGATCACATGTTGTGATAAACAGGTTCCACTTCCATCTGTTTAACACCTCGCAGCGCAAACAGGACTGAAGCTGAGGGACGTCACTTACTATGGATGATATCAGCTTAACTTCCCCGATGTTAAAACAAGAACAAATGGACACTGCGCTGCAGACACAACTCGTACTACGATAACACGGCAGTCATTCAGTTTAGCAGTTCCCGCCTCCTGTCTCTTCCTCAGCAGTACGACTTCCTGTCTCGTCCCAATTCGTTGTTCTCAAACCTCAACCTCTCTCTGCTGGACTGTCAGCAAGCGAAGGAACCATCCAGTAACATGTCTGTCTCTTTACTTTAACATCAACTCGAGATCAAATATGAGTCAAACAAAGAACACAATCACAACAACAAACTCGATCCAAACTAGCGGAAGGGGGCCCATGTCGTGTAACAACAAGGGAGGGCTCCATTTATCCTCCAGGCTCGCCCAGGGACCCGCCCCTGTCAGTGAAGTTATTATAACACTTTATTCTCCACGTAAAACGTCCCACTGTTCATATTTACTTTTTAAACAAGTGAGGTCTTACCCAAGCTGACAAAGACCGTGTTTTAAAACTGCTCCTCTCTGCTGTAGTTTCCACACCACCCGGCTCCTCGCTGCTCATTCGTAGTGAGGTCTACGCCGCCATCTTGTGGTGACAACGCGCTAAACAAATGAAGCGACTAAGCTCGCCCCTGCGCGTTGCTTTATGGGAGATGTAGTATAACATTGTTTGAACTGAGGCAGAGCACGGAACTCATAATTAAATATTTTTAAAACAATTATCCTCGAACGTGAATCGTATTCAAATGTGTGATTTACTCTTCCGCAGGTAAGGAACGGTTGACTGACAGCTGCTCGTGGTGTCAGTGTTGCAGTGTGAACTACAATAACCAGAAGCAGGTTGATGTTCGTGCCGTCGACAGTGGATGACAGCGGCTGCTAAGCTTTAGAGAATAAAGCACGCGTCGCCAGAGGAAATTACTGCGATTGTGATATTACGTAGTGAAATGTTGTGTTTGTTTCCATCTGCGTTAGCATCGATTCTCTTTTACTCATTGGCCTTTGAGGAGGGATCCCGGAAGTGTTAGCCGTGCACAGTGGTCGCAGCCCGTTTAGCCGAGGCTAAACCGGAGACAGGATATAGATGAACCCAGACGGGACCAGCCCCATGAGCCGGCAGCAGCAGCATCAGCAGCAGCAGTCACACCCTTGTCTGGAGGTAACACTGGACTAACTGTGTCTGCTGACCACCATGACACTGCCCTCCCTCTCACGCTGCTGCTGCAAATACGTGTCCTCCTCAAACTGCTGAGCCTGAGAGCGCGAGTTAACCAGGATGCGTGGACTGGATCTGACTGACTCATCATCATCATCATGGCCCGGAGAGAAGAGATAACCCTGACCAGGCTCTGTGCTGCAGTGTTAACCAGGCAGCCCCACAACTAGCCGGACAGCTCAGTCCTCCAGCCGGTCGCTCTGTATCTGTGTAAATGATAAGACCTCGCAGTCAGAGTGGCGTCATGAATTCCCCCGTGTACACCTTTGTCACCCGTGACGACAACAGCACAGTTTATGCAGAAGTTTCCAAAATCCTGCTCTCGACTGGACAATGGAAGAGGCTGAAAAGAGACAATCCCAGATTCAACTTGATGCTGGGAGAACGGAACCGACTGCCCTTCGGACGTCTAGGTAATCATGTTGTAATCATGTTATTATCATGTTATGGGTGTGTGTGTGTGTGTGTCCACAGCTGTTGTGACGGGGCAGGGATGCTCATTCCAACACCCTGTGCACAGATTGTCTTGTATTGAGCTGTGCAGTGGACTTCTCATCTGACTTCTCTGAATGCATGTTAAAATGGCCACTCTTGGCTTTTACAGGTCATGAACCAGGACTGGTTCAGCTGGTGAACTACTACAGAGGAGCAGACAAGCTTTGCAGGAAGGCATCCTTGGTCAAGTGTGTACCTTGTTTATAGAAACAGCAATATATTGTTTTGTCTCTCCATCATTCACATTACTAATGCACTTGAGTAAATAATTCAAAGGGGATTGCATTAGCTGACCATCTCCCTTCTCTGCCGCCAGGCTGATAAAGACCAGCCCGGAGCTGTCCGACTCCTGTAACTGGTTCCCAGAATCCTACATCATCTATCCCACTAACCTCAACACCCCGGTTGCTCCAGCCACAAATGGCATTAGCCATCTGAAGAACAATCCTAAAACAGATGAGAGGGAGGTTTTCCTGGCCTCTTATCACTCTAAAAGAGATAGTGGGGAGGGTACAGTGTGGATAGCAAAGTCTTCTGCTGGAGCTAAAGGTAAAATCTGTTACAAATAAGCCTTTTTGTCCGACATTTTACCTTAAGTGTCTTCTTAGATTATATTTTAGATTAATATAATCTTTCTGAACTCCTAAAGGCAACAGTCTCTCCTCGATGAACCCTCTCTAATGTGATATACTGCACATATTATGTACAGTTTCAAACTTATGATGTTGTAGAGGGAATTATTTGCAGCTTAACTTATTCGTTCTCATTTGACAGGGGCTGGTATTTTGATATCTCATGATGCTAATCAGCTGCTGGAGTACATTGATAATCAGGGACAGGTTCATGTCATTCAGAAGTACCTGGAGAAACCTTTACTTCTGGAGCCGGGACATCGGAAATTTGACATTAGGTGAGTGTGTTGTGTTTAACACATGCCCACACAGATTGTGTTATTTTGTCTGAACTTTGTAACTGAAGCTCCTATGCTTCATCTCATTTGCGATTGTCAGGAGCTGGGTGTTAGTGGACCATCAGTATAATATCTATTTGTACCGGGAGGGTGTGCTGCGGACTTCCTCAGAGCCCTACAACAACTCTGACCTCCAGGACATGACCAGCCACCTGACCAACCACTGCATCCAGAAGGAGCACTCTCTGAACTACGGGCGGTATGAGGAGGGGAACGAGATGTTCTTTGACGAGTTCAAGCTGTACCTGCTGAACACTCACAATATCGTCCTGGAGACCAGCATTTTACCTCAGATCAAGCAGATCATAAAGTAGGTCCCTCACGTATTGCTGTGAATACCTTGGCCATCACACTGAGAGCTGAAATCCATTGGTTCTTTTAAGTTACAGTTGTGTTTAGTCCCATCCCAAACACACAAACCAGCCGATTTAATGTGGTTGGAGACTGTGTAGATGAATAAGGTGGCATGACATGAGACATCTTATTTGTTGTAGGATTGTTGACTTTGTGTCCATTTATTTATTTAACCTTAATTAAACGAGGAATTCCCTTGAGATTATATTTTCTTTTTCTGGCGAGACATGGCCAAGATATCAATCAGTCAGTAGTGATTAGTTTGACAGATACTTTTAAATTCACCTTTAGGCAAGTACAGGTATATTAAAACATGTTGGGTGCATGACTCTAGTGATGGTAATATCAGTATGTCCATCAGTCCATCGTTTTGGTCCAGACTGAAATATTTGGTCCAAACACTGTAAGTGGGATTGCAATGAATATCTATAATATATATATGTTTAATATTTTACTTAGTGCCACTATGTGTATTTGTAGCTTAAGGCCCCTACTGGATTAATTCTAAGGACTTTAGTGACTTAAAACTTCATTTTGCCCCATTTGCTTGGTTTATGACATATTACCTACAAAACTAATGTCATTCCATCAGCATCAGCTGTACTCTGTAACTTTTACCTGCTTAACACAAGCATCAACATAATCTACTGGCTTTATCATTGTAAACATGTTTGCGTGGCGATATGAGCATCTTGCTTAAGTGCACACTCAAAGAGCCGTTACCATGGCTGCAGACTCATAGTCTTGTTAAGTGTATGAGAATAAATCTCTCTGTATCCGACATTTGTTTTAAAACATCTGAGCTACTAAAGCTCTAAATGCAGCTGTTTTTAGAATCCACTGCTTTTTCCTGAGAAGCTGCAGTTGAAAGTGCTCTATCTGTTGCTGTGTTCTTTAGAAATCACTGCAGAGGTCACAGGGTCGGAAGTTTAACTTGCTGTTGTCCTGGTTAACAAAGTTCAGATATCATTCATTTCTGGAACATGCAGTATTGACCAATGCACTGACTTAATGGTAGTGACAGTCAAAACTGACAAGTGCAACACTGCAAGTACATGTGTTCTGTTGAAAATCGAAACGCAGCAAGGAGAGGCATTTTTACATATGAGTCACTGGTGGAAGAATTTTCATCATCAGTGTCTTCAGATCATTGTAGAGGATGATAATCTCTTTAATGGTGAACACAGCATCTCCTGCAATGTAATCAAAAATATTAATTAATTGTATAACAATGTTGAAACGTGAACAATAGAGGAAAAGTGTAGAACATAGTGCAGATTACAATAACAACAGTAGAAACGCAGTTAACAGATATAATGTCAGCAAAGATAATTCCTCTGCAACGATGCATGCTGGGTAGCCTTATTGTAACTTTCTTTTCAACAGTCGAGATGATTCAGTGATTCATGCTCATATGAATTATGTTTGGTTGGACATGATTTTGTCTTCTGGTCTCACAGGAGCTGTCTTTCATGTATTGAGCCGTCCATCAGCACCAAGCACCTGTCCTACCAGAGCTTCCAGCTCTTTGGATTCGATTTCATGTTGGACGAGAGCTTCAAAGTGTGGCTCATTGAGATCAACGGAGCTCCAGCCTGTGCACAGTGAGTAACATTCAGCTGATCGTTCATGTTCATGTCAATTTATTTGTGTTCTGCACTATTTTTTCACATTTAGAAACAGTATAGTTTTAGTTAATATAGTCTCATATTCTGCCTCTTCGGTTCCTCCAGGACCGTTTTGCCTTCTATTTACAATACGGGGAAAACATTGATTTAACGTAAATTCAGTCTCACAAGTGAACATGTTAACATTTTTCTTTTTCTCTCCTTTTGCAGGAAACTATATTCAGAGCTATGTCAAGGTATTGTGGATGTGGCCATTTCCACTGTCTTCACTCTGAACAGCAGCAGCGACCCCTCATCTGCCTCCTCCTCTCCTTATTCCTCCTCTCCATCCTCCATGTTCACCACCAACTCCTGTTCCTCTCCCAAACTGAGAGCACCTCTTCACGTCGGCCCTTTCACTCGACTGTAAGCTCACACTCGTCTCCTCCAAACTAGAAACTTCCTCATGCTCTGTCCTCGCCCATAGAAGAGATGTAGCACACAGCAGTGAGCAGAGCCTTTAATTCAAACCTCCCACTCCCCAATTCCCCAGGCAAGTCAGGCGAGGTTAAGAGGGAGTCTCTCTTTTCATGGAAATCACTGAACTGCAGAATTAATCTCTGCGCTCCTCGTTATGCATATCATAAACGTGCGGATGCTGATGAACGGATCGACAAACTATGTGGGAGTTTCTGAATGAGGACGAGATCATTCCATCTCAGTCCCGACACCACCGCCGACAGTTTTCTCCATGAGAAGATGAATGGAGCTCTGAGGGATGTAGAGATGCTGCCAAGTGAGACTGTAGTGCCTTACATTTCCAACCATGCTCCCTTAAAAAGACTGCCAGTTAGCTTGCTCTGTTACCGTGACTCGTACTTGTTCTATAAGCCTTTGCACTGTTGCAGTCAATGCGGTCCCGATCCGTCCACATGAGTAAGCATAAAACAGATTCCTTGATAAGATCTTGGTGAACTTGTTATTTTTTCATCAGAAACGTATTTTTATTAGTTAACATCGTTTTAATTTGAATCTATTTCTTGACATGCAGAATGCTAACAAGCCACAGGGACCGCTCTAAGCTAATTCATGACTCCCTTATATAATAGTAGCTAATATACAAACCAAATAAGTCTGATGAGTGAACCAGTCAACGTGTCATGGTCCTCTCACTTCACAATGTGGACACTAAATAGTATTTACACTGAGGGCAGGATAGTGGCATTAGTGATCAGGGAGATCCTCCTTTTGCTCAAACACCAAGTTTACAGCAAGCTCCCTGACCTCTGACCTCTCTATGAAAACGACTCCGTTAATAGAGCTGAGCAGTGTGCTTCCGGAAGTGAAGCTCCCATTCATCGTCCTGAATGAGATGTTTGATTATCAGCCATAATATTACAGCGATATATTCTCCTGTGGAAGCCACAAGGTCATAAGATATCAACTGTGTTCAAAGAATAATGTGTTTTATTTTCAATGAGAAGTACAACACTACCCACAATCCTCGGGTGTAAGAGTGACAGCTATGATTGGTAGAGCTTGCTGTTACCATGGAACTGTTAACCACAACCACAAAAATCAGTACAATCGTATCTTTTAGCGTTACTACACAATGTTACTAAACTATACACTATATGAAACGCTGTATACGAGCACACAAGACACAAACTACAATATATTGCAATACTACATCAACGACAAAGTTGAATTGAAGAAGAAACAAGTTGGAAGTCATTGGAAAGGGATCATTCGCAATGGTTTATGGGATGCGCAGTTCATTTGCTCTTAAAATAATTATGTCTTGCTCTCTGAAACGTCAATTCAGAAAATGAATGGGAAATTTACTCCAAATTCGAGAGCCATTCTTTCAGTGGGGCAGTCACTGTTCCGCTCAGTGACGTATAGGTCGACATTATTCTGTTCTCAGCAGATTCACTGCAGAGTTTAGTTAAACTGAAGACATTTTGATTTGTCATTTGAAGAGAGCATGTTTGTGTGAACGCATGCAGTAGAATGCATCCTCATAAACAGAACCTTTTGCCCCCAGTTTGTAAAGAGCTTCCCTGAAGTCTGTGTTCTTCTTCTGAAAAGATAAGAGTGTAAATGTAAAGTGTTGTCAATAACTGTGTGGATTATGTTCTTATTGTTGAAATGAAAGTAGAATAGATAGTTCAACGTTTGTTGTTGATTATTAGAATTATTGTAAGACCCCATGAACTGAAACAAGTAAACATTTGTTTATAAGGGAGCTGATGGAGACCAAAAGCGAACCCAACAAACGTGCTGTGTGCAATGTGGGTTGCAAAGAGACGTCCCAGTAAACACATGCAGGTCTTGATGTCACTGCTTCTTCTGCAGTTACTGTCTCTTGACGCAAATTTCATTACATTTTTATGTTTATTTTTCGTTTCATGGGGTCATAAAAACATTTGAGTTCTTTTATTTTCACTCTTTGTGAATAGCTAAGACATGAGATGGAACTGTCTAAGTTTCTTTAGTCCATAATACTTCAGTAGTTTTTTCCTCCCAGTCTCAGGAGGATAGTGTGTTTCCATTCAAAATCTGTGGCATGCTGGGTTGTTGATTTTTGTTGTGTTTGCAGGAGGCTCATTTTAGATACAGAACATGTTAATAGTTCTCTAATAATGTTAGAAACCCTGCTGCTCCTCTGTTTTAACCTCAGTTCAGACGTGTGAGGCTTTGGGTCCCACATAAAATGAGTAACAAGTTAAGGGACACCATCACAGCATTTATTCATATTTTGAATCTCCTTGTATTTGTGTTTACTATATAACTCTGAAGAATGAAGGATTGTGAGTGGTTGTAGGTCAGAACAATGGGATTGTCTTGGGCAGGTTACACTGACAAAATACAACTTTGTTGTAAAATGAATCCCAGAAGTCCTGCTGTGGCTGAACAGATGTTTTGAAAGATGATAATGTAAGTTAAAAAAAATTGGTTTGTAGGGCATAATTATGTTGTTAATTAATTTACAAGGGTTTGATAGCGGATTTTGGAAATCCAAAAGCAAACTATCAGTATTATTTAATTAAATTTGTTCGGAAGTGTCTTTCCATCAAAGGGACGGGTGCCTTAGAGGGAATATTGCATATTCATTTTTTAAAAAAAGCAATGAACCTCCAACATTGAAATGCACCTTCATTTGTTTGTACTGAAGTGAATTTGCTTTTCTCATTTTTCAACCTTTTTTAGATTCAGTGATGTAATTTCTTTGTCGTCAGAGTTTATTTGCACATCTAACTCATTTTCTCATGTTTCGTTTATTTCTCCTCATCTTTACCAAAGATCAAATTCCAGTTGTAAAATGTTTTGTACTTACTTTAACCTGAACGTCATCACATCGACTGGCCAACGGGATCGTAAAGCAAGTATCATATTCAGGGGGACGTGTGTGCTGTGCTTTTGTTCAGTAATGTTTTATTCAGATTCTTGCATGAACATTTGTCTTTATCAGAAACAATACTGCTAGAATAAAAAAATACTATCATCAAACTGCTGTCATGTTTCTGACTTGACTTGGTTAAACAACGATTGTAGCAGACAGAGATGAAGGTGGGTATCCATCTTCTCAGCTGTCTCCTGGTAACGAATAAAAATGTATATTTCACGGTGACAATTTTAATTAAAATCACACAATTATAAATGTTTGATACTTAATAATAGTGTCTACCACTGAGTATAAATTGATACAACCTGATATACCATATACAGTATATATACTATAAAAAGTATATCCTATAAAAAGCTTTTCTTGAGAACTGGATAGTAAATAAAACACTATCACCACAAGGTGGCAGTAAATCAACAACAAAGAAACAACCTGCCGCAAAACCTGAGCGCGAAGAAGAAGTTCTTCCTGTCTTGATGGATGTAGTTCCTGTGTCACTGTGCACATGTGGTAAACAAGCGCCTGTGTGTGTGTGTGTGGAGCATGGACTTTTCTACAAAGTGGAGTAATTTACCCACAGGTCCGAGTCTGAAGAACCTGACCCAGGGCGGGTTCGGTGTCCTGAAGGAGACTCAGCATGAGGCGGTCCAGGACCTGACGAAAGCCCACATCGAGTCTTTCGACCAGGCTGTCACCGGCGGACTGAGCCGGGTCGTACAGGTCAGCTCAGCTCTCACTCGTTACAGATGTTACTCTTAGTTATTAACAATACAGTCTATGTTATTAACTGGTAAAACACGCCAAATTGTGTATCGATGAAACCACACACAATTTGTAAAATGCTGTATGTGGAAAATGAGGTTTAGCTGTCACTGTTAAATCCGATTTCACCTAGTTTTCACCTGCCCCACTAAATGATATATACAATAAAGTTAGTCTCTAGCAGTTAACTATAAATGAATTGATGTCTAATTCAATTATACATAAAATAAAGTTCCTCATTAAGTTTGAGCCATGTTTGTTACATTTGTTTTGAGTATGTCTCTAAATCTGTGCAGGCCTATTTGTGTTGGAGAGCTAACTACTTAAAACACACTGTTTGTAGCTTATTTGTTCTCAAAAAGATAAAACTTGTATGACTTTGTAATAAAAAGCTGCACAGCAACACAAAACCATAAACCAGGTTGAGTGTGTTGATTATGTGAAAGTTACCAGCTTCAGTACTCTGCAGGGTGACTATCACCAGGGAACCAACGTGTGTCTTTTGATTTCTTGGTGATTTTCTGTCAGTGTCTGTTGTGGAGGTTTGCTCATTGTTTTGTGATGTGTGTTCTTCAGGCCATACCTCCTTTGGAGTTCACCGTTAATAATGACAGGATCAGCCTTTCGTTCGTCGAGGCCTCCATCAACAACCCGGTGGTTGCCAAAGGGAACGTCTGCAGGGACATGAGGGTGTTTCCTGCAGAGTGCAGGGGAAGGAGATGCTCATACAAAGGAAAGCTGGTGGTAAGACTGTTAGATTCATATACAGCCTCATTATGATATATTTTTAACTAATTTTCACTTGACTTTTAACACACCATCTTAAATGATCATTCAATCAGCATGTGAGAAATTAAATGTGCTTAATATTCACCCTGTGTTATCTCAGGCTGACGTCAGCTGGTCGGTCAATGGAATTCCCAAAGGGATCATCAAGCAGTCCCTGGGTCAGGTGCCAATCATGGTGAGGTCAAAGCTGTGCAACCTCTATGGTATGTCTCCAAAAGAGCTAGTTGAACACCATGAAGAAGCAGAGGTATGAGACACGTCTATAATAAATGAAATTTAAACACAAACCCATTATATGAATCCATGTTGGTAAAAAAGTGAAATCTCCCTTTAAATATTGACAGGAAATGGGAGGTTATTTCGTCGTGAATGGAAATGAGAAGGTGATCCGAATGCTGATCATGCCGAGGAGGAACTATCCTATTGCCATGTCAAGACCTAAGTGGAAGAGCAGGGGCCAGGGCTACACTCAGTATGGTAAGAATAATGTGCAGAAACTCAGGGACAGTGGGTGTGTATTCACAGAAATCTATATCTTTTAAAATGGGTGCTGTTATCTTTTTTTATTGTGACAGGTATATCTATACATTGTGTGAAGGAAGAGCACACAGCCATCAACATGAATCTTCACTATCTGGAAAACGGGACTGTGATGCTGAACTTCATCTACCAAAAGGAGCTCTTCTTCCTCCCACTAGGCTTTGCACTCAAGGTACTAATCATGTATTTTTGAAAATGTGCTTTGAACACATTAAATTGGAAAAGCTAAAAAATAATAATTACTCCAACTTCAGGGGGACAAACAAAACAAACTAAACCAAACTAACTGGAAATTGGCTTCTAGCTTAACAGAAAATAACAAAAACAAACAACAACAACAACTTGGCTTTCTAACTAAGTGAAACAGCAGACATGGCAGTAAACCCCAACTATTCAACAATGTTATAAACTCCATGTTAAACAATAATTTCTGTGCGTGTGGCTGGTTGGTGGTTAAAGTGATACATAGACACAAGCACGCATACAGACAACACAAATTTACTTCAGACAAATGACCACAGCCGTTAGATTAGTAGTAGTACAACCTCTTTTGGTGTTGTATGTTACTCTAGAAAATGTGCTCTGTTTTGTCCTCTAGGCCTTGGTGGACTTCACAGACTTCCAGATCTTCCAGGAGCTGATCAAGGGCCGTGAGGACAACTCCTTCTACAAGAGCTGTGCCTCGGAAATGCTGCGAATCGTCATGGAGGAGGGCTGCACCACCCGCAGCAAGGTGCTCAATTACCTGGGAGAGCGCTTCAGGGTTAAGATGAACCTTCCTGAGTGGTACACAAACGAGCAGTGTGCCAACTTCCTGATAGAGTAAGATTTTTATCAAAGATGGATGAGATATTTTACTAGTTTTACTTAAAACCTCATAATGCACAATTGAAGTATTTTCTGGTACATTTAGTAAAAGGAGTTGTGTTCTGTTTTGATCAGTGAGTGCATCTGTATCCACCTGAAGTCAGATGTGGAGAAGTTCTACCTGCTCTGTCTAATGACCAGGAAGCTTTTCACATTTGCCAAGCAGGAGTGCATGGAGGAGAATCCCGACAGCATCATGTGTCAGGAAGTGCTCACTCCTGGTCAGCTCTACCTCATGTTCCTGAAGGCAAGTTTGTTTTAAGTCACAGTTTCATAATGAGCCAGCATTTTTTATACTTGGTGTGTGCAGCGCTATTTGCTGCATGTTCAGCTGAAGTTCTGCCATGAAATGCAGTTCTCTCTCTCATGTGAAAACTTATCGTTGTCACTCTTCGGTCTTTTTTACCAGTAACTTGGAAAGTTTCTGGTGTGAGAGTGACCTTGTGCGTGTGCATCCCCATTGCCGCCATAGATAAAATTACTCGTGTGAGAAATGCTGAATGGAGGAAACATTAAGTGAGCATCGGCACTGATCAGTTAGTGATCTAACCTTGAAGATATCTTCACAGGAGAGAGTTGCTGCCTGGCTGGTGTCTGTGAAGCTGGCCTTTGACAAGAGAGGCAGCCGACTGAGTGGAGGATGGAACGCCGAAAACATGATAAAGCTATTCAACATGGGCGGTGATGTGACCAAACCTTTTGAATATCTGCTGGCTACTGGGAACCTCAACTCCAAGACAGGTACGGCCACATGAGTATTAATACATGTTACTGTACAAAAGGAGAGCTCGTGTATTAAATACATATCACTCTCACCTCTGACCCCAGGTCTCGGCATGCTGCAGAACACAGGACTGTGTGTCGTAGCCGACAAGCTCAACTTCATCCGCTACCTGTCCCACTTCCGCTGCGTGCACAGAGGAGCAGCGTTCGCCAAGATGAGGACCACCTCTGTTCGTAAGCTGCTGCCTGAGTCGTGGGGCTTCCTGTGTCCCGTCCACACCCCGGACGGAGAGCCTTGTGGCCTCATGAATCACATGACAGCCAGCTGCGAGATTGTGGCACCAACCTCGTCCACCACAACCATGCCTGCTCTGCTATGTTCCCTCGGTGAGTTCTTTCTTCAGATTACAATTCTGTTCAGTTAACGCCGAGTTCACACGAAACAGAACAGAGCTCGACTTGAACCCGACAGACGTGAACAGTCTGTGTTACCCTGTCCCTCACACTCATGGTTATTTCCCTGATTACAGACATGTGCAGTGTAAAAAATCAGGGGTACTACACACCACACACCCACTACACACCATCCTGCGCTTTGATTGTTGCCACTGATTCCGACTACATTTCCAGCAGATTAGAAATCTGATCTGAATCTGCAACACATCAGCGAGCCTCTATAATCATCTTTTAGGGGTTCACATGTAGCGATTGCAAATCGAGTGACAATGGGGGGACTTAAGTCTGCAACCTGAGAAACTTGTCTGCGACTGGCAAATCAGGCTGAAATTTGTGTGATGTGACTTGGCTTTAGCTGTAAGGTGTGAATTCACTGTTTTGCCCTTTTTCGACACAAGTTTTAAAGCATGTCATTAAACTGATGTATTTATTTAAATCTTCTCTGTCTGGTAAGGTGTTATTCCCGTGGACGGATCTCCTGGTCAACCTTTTTCAGACTGCTACCCTGTGGTGCTTGACGGGGCCGTTGTAGGCTGGTTGGAGACTGAATTAGCTCCAGTTGTGGTTGACTCACTACGTAGTTTCAAGGTATGATTGTGAAATATTAAACAGCTGTACTGCAGATGTTGTATGTACAGCAAAGTGACATTTATATGAAATACCTTCAGGTACTGAGAGTAAACAAGATCCCTCCCTGGACTGAGATCGTCCTGGTTCCCAAAACAGGCAAGGCCAGCTTGTACCCAGGCCTGTTCCTCTTCACAACGCCCTGTCGTATGGTGCGGCCCGTACGCAATTTAGCTCTTGGAAAGGAAGAGTTAATTGGCACCTTTGAACAAGTATGTGCAAACCAAGATTTAAAAAAGATGTTATGGTAGATGTTACCAGAACACAACTGAAATGTTTATTTTTTTCTACCTTGCTGCAGCTTTATATCAATGTGGGCATCTTTGAGGGTGAGATCGAGCCCGGTGTGACCACACACCAGGAACTGTTCCCACACAGTATGCTGAGCGTGGTGGCCAACTTCATCCCCTACTCAGATCACAACCAGAGTCCGAGGAACATGTACCAGTGTCAGATGGGTAAGTCTGAGACCACAACTAGAGCCTGAGCACACCTACACTGGTGAACAGGCTGATTCATATATTCCAGTTCTTTCAGAGATTAAACATGTTCTCTGTGTAGGTAAGCAGACTATGGGATTCCCCCTGCACTCGTTCACGGACCGCTCAGATAACAAGCTGTACCGACTCCAGACCCCACAAAGCCCGCTGGTCAGGCCCTACATGTACGACCACTACAACCTGGACAACTACCCCAGCGGCACAAACGCCATTGTGGCTGTCATATCCTACACCGGCTATGACATGGAAGATGCTATGGTAAGTACAACACAATAGTTACTGTCATTTTTTTTCCCTCAAACAGAATACTAAACCAAGACAATACATTAAGAACCAATGGTGATTATTGTTGTAAAATCCTCTATCACAGATTGTGAACAAGTCCTCGTGGGAGAGAGGCTTCGCCCATGGAAGCATCTATAAGACTGAGCTGGTGGATCTGGCGGACAAGGTGAGGGGAGAGGACGCCGTGGTGTTTGGGACCAAGCCAGGCGATCCTAAGGTGGATGGAAGACTGGACGCTGATGGACTTCCTCACATTGGATCAACTCTTAAGTATGGAGACCCCTTCTACAGCTACATCAACCTCAACACTGGTCAGACCTTCATCAACTACTACAAGTAAGTGTCAACATGTTTTTGTCATCAGCACACAAAGTAATGCCCCTCTCAAGACATTAAGTAATGTTTTTAAACTTTTCAAATTACAACCAGTATTGTTTCTTTATTCATTTCTAGGAGCCAAGAAGCTTCTGTAGTCGACAATATAAAGATCTGCAGCAACGACAACGGCTCAGGCAATTTCAAACGAGTTTGCATCACCATACGAGTGCCACGAAACCCCACCATCGGTGACAAGTTCGCCAGTCGCCACGGTCAGAAAGGCATCCTGAGCCGCCTGTGGCCGGCTGAGGACATGCCCTTCACAGAGAGCGGCATGACTCCCGACATTCTCTTCAACCCCCACGGCTTCCCCTCCCGTATGACTATCGGGATGCTCATCGAGAGCATGGCCGGCAAGTCCGGCGCCCTGCACGGCCTGAGCCACGACGCCACACCCTTTACTTTCTCTGAGGAGAACTCTGCTCTGGAGTACTTCGGTAAAATGCTTCAGGCTGGAGGTTACAACTATTACGGCACGGAGCGGCTCTACAGTGGCCTGAGCGGTCAGGAGCTAGAGGCCGACATCTTCATCGGGGTCGTCTACTACCAGCGGCTACGTCACATGGTCTCTGACAAATTTCAAGTGAGGACCACGGGAGCGCGAGACAAGGTGACCAACCAGCCGGTGGGAGGGAGGAACGTCCAGGGAGGCATTCGTTTTGGAGAGATGGAGCGAGACGCCCTGCTGGCCCACGGCTCGTCCTTCCTGCTTCACGATCGGCTCTTCAACTGCTCGGACCGATCTGTAGCGCAGGTGTGCATTGACTGTGGCAGCCTCCTCTCCCCTCTGTTAGAGAAACCCCCTCCTTACTGGTCGTCCATGCGCCACCGTAAGACTGTGTGCACCCTGTGTGGCAAAAGTGACTCTATTGACTCGGTGTCTGTTCCTTACGTCTTCCGCTACTTTGTGGCCGAGCTCGCTGCAATGAACATCAAAGTAAAATTAGATGTAAAGTAAATTTCACAGGAGAATGAGTAGATACCTGCCTTAATTTGACAAAGTATAAATCAGAAGAAATGGGTTTTATGAATCTGCTCATTTTGTTAAAATGTGTCTCAGTAAAGCTGCTTGAATGAACCATGCTTCAGATAACAAATATACTGTACAGACATGATGTGTGTATAAAGAACCGCCGAATACTACCTGAGACATGAATCTGCTTTGTCCAGTGTTTTTATTAGCAGAAACTCTGGAAAATAACCCAGAAGCAGCATGTGATGGAGTGAATGCACAACATTCTGTTGAGGTGTGTAAAAATAAAAGGTTTTTGTACAGTCATCCCGAGTGTTGAATAAAGAGTATGTGTTCAGATCCATTATTTAAGAAAAAGCAATTCCTTTCAGAAATACACAAAAGTTCTGCTGTAAAATCCCAAGTAAAATGATTGAAGTACCATCAGCTTAAGCCAAAGAGCTTGGTCTGGAATGAAAGGGCCCCTGTCACTGACAAATTTATACAATTACATTGTTGGTGCATAAGAAGCATTGACTGTTTGAAAACTAGTTTTTAACTACAGTATATGATAAGCTTGTGTTTTCTGTGTAAAGAAGCAGAACATGAACAATCCTGAGTAAAGTACAAGTGTCACAACATTATATTTATGTGTATTTGAGCAAATAGTATGATAACTTTCCACCACTTTATAAATGGATAGTTGGTACCTGAGTGCCGACATCTATGCTGACAAATTTCCCTTTGGACTCCATGTAATTACAAATGTAAACATCTACACATTGCTAAAAACAAATAAAGGAGAGTTGTCCAGGTCGTGACATTCATCTTTAAACATTTCCATTCTAAACGTTTCCACGAGATCCCACTTGAGGTGATGTCACATGCTTCCAGTCCCCATTTGATTCTTACTTCAGCTGTTCCAGTACATGTGGCAGCTCTAACACAGTTTGGACAGTGTAGTCTGGTTTCACTGAGCCCTCTGGCACTGTACCTCCAGTACTGCTGATCCAAACTGTGGCCCGTACTCCAGCATTAAAGCCCCCCTGAATATCTGTGTCCAGAGAGTCTCCAACCATAACACAGTCCTGGGCCTCCACCCCCAGCATGTTGAAACACAGTGTGAAGATGGAGAGGAATGGTTTCTGCTCTGCATGTTCTCCCCCAACCACAATGGCATCAAAGAACTCCTCACATTTGGCTGTCTGCACCTTCTCTCTCTGGGTCTGAGCTTCCCCGTTGGTCAGCAGCAGCAGCTTGTATCTGCTGCGAAATTGTTTTAGGAGGTCGCGTATTTGAGGGGACAGACTGAGAACTTCCAGCCGACTGTTTTTCCACATAAAGTAGCACTGAGCTGCGAGAGACGGTGTGGGAACACTGCCCACGGTCTCCCGGAGGCTCTCCTCCCAGTGACCCACTCGTACATCATGTATGGATCGTCCTGCTGCAGGATCAAAACACTCACGGAAAAGCTTCTGCTTGAACTTGTCACAAATGCTGCTGATGGTGTCGTCATCGAGGCCCAGTTCAGTCTTCAGAAGTTCACTGGTCTGTGAATCACACACAACAGATTCATATCTAACTGAGCGATAAACCACAGCCTGGGGTTGTGTAGGAAACATTACGGACACTTATTTTGATGGATGTGAGAATTTGGCAACTTTTTAATGTGTGTAAATAAACATTTTGTTTAAAATGAGGCATTCCGATAATGTTTTAGCTAGGCAATAAAATGATATCAATAATTATTGCAATATATTTTCAATTAATAGCAATATAACAAAGGTTCAAGACAAAAAACATAAATATACAGTAAATATGCCTGATACTGAGTGAGTGAACAGTCAGGATGGTGCTGAATTCAAGTGTATCAGCCTTAGTCAGAAACTATGGATTAAAGGGATTTTACAGTAGAGTAAATATGGCACATAATGCCTTTCTCAATTCAAAATAATGAACTTTGAGGCTGAATTTCTCCAAAATGATGCAGTTAATATGCCTGATACTGAGTGAGTGAACAGTCAGGATGGTCCTGAGATCAAGTGTATCAACCCTCGTCAGAATTTATGGACCAAAGGGATTTTACAGTAGAGTAATAGGTTTGCTCGCTCCGTATCATGGACTACATGCACTTGCCGTACATTCTGTAATACGGGCGCACTTGAAATCAGGAAAAGACGAACGTCTGCTCACCTGACCGCAGTCCGGTGTGAGCATGTTGCATCAGTGTCACGTGTTCGTGTAAATCCTATGTTTAAGTGCCAGTGCAGAAATGTGACATCACAGACAAAGATGTTACATCAGTTAAATCAAAGATAAATCGTCCGGTTAAACAGGATGAAGACTAATCTCAGTGTATCCCGCTGTCACAAATCAAAGAGTCCGCCATGAAGTTCTCTCAACTCTACGTCACAGACATGGCCGCTGACTCACTGACACTACAGGAGGAGTGTTAATCACCTTCCGTATGGCCAGTGCACCCGCCCTGCTGGTGTCGATCAGCGTGTTGTCCAGGTCAAATATTAAAGCCTTCACTTCCCTGTCCATGGCTGCAGCTCACCACACTGCGGGGTTCAATCAGGAAGTACTGCGGACTGAGGAGCATGCTGGGAACTGTAGTTCTGCTAAATGCTAAGCGCCTGCAGGTTTTGTCCTCTAGAGGGCGCCAGTTAATATAATTTCAGTGATTTTCTTTTCTTTTCGCGAGTAGGACATAGATTATTCTTGACAAGATCTCTTTCCCAAGAAGAAGAAACATTCACAGTCAGCAACAAAACAATGAAACACAAGCAACAGCAAAACAATGCGATGAAAATAAATGAATAAAAACAGTCACAAGATTCATAAATAACATTGCATGGTAAAGATTTAAAATGTCCAAGGGGAACACAAGACTGTAGTTTGTAAATCATTCCATTTAGAAGGTGCAACTGAATCCAGTCCTGCCAACATTGGTGCGTACATGAAGTCTAAAGTTCACTAGTTACTGGATCTTGTGCTGTATGTTCTGGTTTTAAGTGAGAGAAGAGAGTTTAGGTTGAATAACATGAGATGACTGTCTCTTATTGCTTGTAATGAAGTCCAACCCAGTGATACAGAGAACAATGATATGTGCTAAATAATAATGATAATAATAATAATAACAACAATAACAACAATAATCATAATAATAATTATCATTATAATTATAATAATGATGCATAAAGATTTATAGTACATTCACGGCCAGACAAGCAGTTTGTATAGAAGCATAGACTCTATATGAATAGTTGCCATTTTGGGTCCGGCGTGTAGGTTTACTAATACACCCATGTGTAATAATCTCAGCAAGCTCTTCACACCAATTTATGCTGCTCTAGTTAGAAAAAATTCATAGGAAATATAAGTAAATGAAATGTCAACTTGCTGCAGAAGCTCATAAAAAAAAACTATGAATATGTTAGTAACTTTATTGCAAATCTTAGTGTTAACAACAAAATAATGTCAAAATGACCAACAGTAAAATAAAAGTACAAAGATACTATCGACACAAGATAAAGCACTACTACTATCAGAATACTCAATATGGGGAAGTTTCCCTCATTTGACTCCTCTGGCACACACCATGTTTCACAACCACACAAATTGTTTTTCCATCACGAACAAGTTTCTCCCTGAATTATTTCTAGAGTTATCCATAACCAATATGAGCGTGACACAATCAGTGTCATCACTTTTCTAATTAAATGCCGTACGTGACACTTGACCATGGATATTGCCAATTTAAACACATTACGTGGCAAACTCTTTCAAAATCAAAACATACCTCATTTCTTATGCAACCTGTCCTCTAACTCGCTCTCTTATCTGGCAGCAGGCCAGAGGTTCACACGCAACAGTGTGCAGGCCTGTTGCACTGCTTTACCGAACCCAATCGGAAATCACAACAATCCTCTCGCACTTGTGCTGAGAGGAAACAATCGTCAGCAGGAGCCTGACCTAATTATCTTGGTTTCATTGGGCAGAAAATGTCAAAGATAAACTGTAAATCAAGGAATGGTGAGAGAGGCCTAACCTGCTTTTATCTGTTAGAACAAACAACACCTGCTGCTCGCATGCAAAGGAGGAATATGTTTAATTAAAGGAGAGACTCGCTGCAAATGACCTCAAAACCATTTTTTAAATAACTCTCACCCATTAAAATGGAGGGAAGCATAAACATTCGATATGTGTAAAGTGAACTGAAAGTGTTAGGATGGAATTTCCCCTCTCATGTGAAGGAAGAGAAAAAAGAAAATGATTTCGCTAACAGGCCAAGTGTGACTCGTCCATGAAAGTGCAGGCATCTGAAGGACGGGTGAGGCCTGGTGTCTTTGTCTGCACGACACCATTCCTCTTTTATCTGTGTGGGTGGCCGCGGCTGCACATAGTCACACGCTATCTCTCAGCTGGGCACGAATCTCGCCGCGAAGGGTATTGTTCCACCAAACACCTTACTGACTTTTTATAGCAGGAAGACAACACTTTTGATCTGTCTTATTTTTCCATAAACACTTTGCCATCAACTATTATGTCCCTGGGACCCTTCTTTTATAGCTGGGGTGTTCATCTGAGTTTCTAATCTGTGGGTGTGTGTGTGCTGGATGTGTTTGTGAGGATACAGGGGGTGGGTCTGCTTGTTATTCGTGACTGGATGGGACAGGTGTAAGCCAGAGGGACCGGTGAGTCTTCAGGCCGTCGGAGGAAAGAGCTTATTATATTCGGAGACTGCATTGCACCTTGGCAGGTAAGCTGAAGACAGCTGTGAGCTGTACGTGACACCCGGAGTGTGCCGGTCATTTGCAAATCAAGATAGAAGGATTACTTCACAGATATACCGTGCATGTCATCTGTGCCATTCTTGACCAGGTGATGGCAAATTCTTCGTATTAAATATTGATCATTTTTCAGATGTGAAAGATACAGATCAGACATACTGCTGTGATACAAAGGACACCGATCACTCAGCTGACCTTTCTATGTTTCTGTTCTCCCATCAGGACAAACTCTGGTCACACACACATAGATGTGAGATTTTATCGAGGCCAGGGGAATGTATGAACTACAGTCTAAATAAAGAAACACTAGTGTGCGTCTAATGGCACTTGTCATGGTAACAGGAAGTCTGGCAACCTGCACGTACACACAAACAAACAATATGATCTGGGGCAGGATGGTGCCTCTTCAGGCGATTATGCAATGCCCTCCATGATCAAGGGCTGATTATGCTTTTCTGTAAAGCTTATATAAGTTGTGTGCTCGTGGCCTACAGCGACCTCTCTCCTAGTATCCTTATCACATCATATACATTTTGCATTTCGTCCTGTGGATCGTGGACACGCCTGCATTATAATAGAACAACCTTTGAGGATGAGTTTTCTGATATTGTGGGTATGTCAGGTATTCCTGCTCATGAAAAGCCTCGACCTCCCCATAGCCGTCTGGCAGATCGCCTGAGTTTCCTGAAGCCCTCGACTGTGCTCCGATACACCTGAGTTCGGCTGACCGGCCACTGAACCGCTGCAGCAGCAGGGAGGGAGACAAAGTATGTGTGGTCACTGGAGTATGGCCCTGAGAGCCTGCACTCTGGGAGATCATCCTGTCTGTTCCAATACAGTCCTACAATCCTGTCACTACACAGTGGAGTGTGTGTGTGTTTGTGTGTACTTCTCACACTGTAGGGGAAAATCTGTTTATACATTTGCAATTCAATCCAGTTTTATTTGCACATCTCCAAATCACATAATTGTTTGTACATGATGTGTTTTTATGCGTTGTTTTTGATCTGTACTGTATATGTACAATGAGAGGGGAGAAGGACAGAGATACTCCGTGGATTTAGTGTTGCACTTCAATAGAGTTGGAGAATTTAAAACAACACTATGTAACTTTTACTAAGCAACAATGCTCCCTCGAGCCTCACATGGTGATTAATTCTCTTGTGCTTAGTGTCTGAGCCATTAAGTGGTTTTCATGTAGAGAAAAAAAAGCCTGTACCGACTGTGTAGTTCCACTCACTGAACTGAAACACAGCTGAACGGTGGATATTACCCATTATCCTCGGCTTCCTAAACCAGGAGAGCTGCTGTCCCAACAAAGACTAAACTCTGTTTCGAATTCTTCATATTTTTAAAGTTCACTCACTGACTATTGGATATAAACACTGCTTTGAATTACTTCTAAGCCTTTTTAACTAATCTACTGTTCAGCATTACTCTTGAACTTGCTGGGCCTGATTCTGGTGATTGAAGCTACGATTACAGTGGCTGTGGCTGAGCGGTTGTCCTTCAACTAGAAGGTAGGCAGTTCAATCCCCAGTCTTCTCCATCTGCATACTGAAGTGTCCTTGGAAGAACAAAAAAGTGCTGCTAATAGATGCAATGTCAATGTGTGCGTCAATGGGTGAATTTACTGTTAAGCACTTTGAGTGGTTATCAAGACCAGAAAAGCACTATATAAATATTAACAATAATCAGTCAGTGACACACTTCTCACAGGAGATCGTACTCACTCACCAAAGTTACAGAGCATCAACAGGCATTCAGCGTGAGGAGTTGAAATGAAAGGGGCCCCAATTTCTAATTTCCAAGTCAGTATGCCATCAAACTCATTTTGAAGCTGCCATTTTAAAGGTTGCATAGCATTGAGACTTAAAGAAGCATTGTGTGGGGCATCCTGGTGGCCAGTCTTATAAATTGCACATAATTTGTACTGTAGCATCATCTGTCCACTTCAGGCCATCCACCTTTGTTATCATCCTCCCTGTCTTACTCTATGATGATGTTTCTGATTAAACAATCTATCAATAGGCTGTACAGAAAAACAACAACTAACAAGATTTCTAACAAATTGTGCCACCCAGTCATTCAAAATAAAACTGCTGCTAACTTTGAATCCGATAACATGTTGATCACTGCCTTCACTGTGACCCCAATTTCTATTTCACAGGGACATACATCCCATAAATAAATCAGGGTTTAAACTGCACCAACAAAATGCACTTGTGTAAATGGGACTTTAGGTGATTTATGATTCAAACTTTGGCACATCACTGACACTAATTATAATGTCTCATGAGAGAGACGCTAACAACAGTGAAGACTGACAGAAATACCTTTTAAACATACAACAAATTACTATTTCAAATACTGTATCAGTGTAAATGTCTATTGAGGTGAGTTTCAAATGTCAAAAATCTTTGCTGGCATTACATTTACATCACTTACACTTATTCACTCTCCATTTGACGTCATTTTGGTTAAAGGGGTAATACAAATGTAACTTTTGGCGCCTCTTATTTTATTTATTTTAGTTTAGAATGATTAAGTGGTCGGACTCGTTGTAACTACATTTTGTAAAGCTCACAAAGAAACTGGAAGCATCAGCAACTCACAACTCAAACAGTCCTCGGTGGTCTGGAGTAAAAATGGAGCTC